CACCACCACCATCACGACCACCAATATTACCAACACCACCACCAACACTACCACCACCAACACTACCACCACCAACACCAACAACACCAACACCACCAACACTACCACCAACACCACCAACACCACCATCACGACCACCAACACCACCACCAACACTACCACCAACACCACCACCAACACCACCACCAACACCACCAACACCACCACCACCAACACCACCACCAACACTACCACCACCAACACCACCACCAACACCACCACCAACACCACCACCAACACTACCACCAACACTACCACCAACACCACCAAGACCACCACCAACACTACCACCAACACTACCACCAACACCACCAACACCACCACCAACACCACCACCAACACCATCAACACCACCACCAACACCACCAACACTACCACCACTACTACCACCAACACCACCACCAACACCACCACCATCACTACCACCAACACCACCACCAACACTACCACCAACACCACCACCAAAACCACCAACACCACCACCAACACCACCAACACCACCACCAACACCACCAACACCACCACCACCACCAACACTACCACCAACACCACCACCATCACGACCACCAATATTACCAACACCACCACCAACACTACCACCACCAACACCACCACCAACACCACCAACACCACCACCAACACTACCACCACTTCTACCACCAACACTACCACCAACACCACCAACACCACCACCATCACGACCACCAACACCACCACCAACACTATCACCAACACCACCACCAACACCACCACCAACACCACCACCACCACCAACACTACCACCAACACCACCACCAACACCACCAACACCAACACCACCAACACCACCACCAACACTACCACCAACACTACCACCAACACCACCAACACCACCACCAACACTACCACCAACACTACCACCACCACTACCACCAACACCACCAACACCACCACCACCACCAACACTACCACCACCAACACCACCACCAACACCAACACCACCACCACCACCACCACCACAACACCACCACCAACACTACCACCAACACCACCACCACCAACACCACCACCACCACCAACACTACCACCAACCCTACCAACAACACCACCAACAACACCACCAACACCACCACCAACACTACCACCAACACCACCAACACCACCACCAACACCACCAACACTACCACCAGCACTACCACAAACACTACCACCAACACCACCAACACCACCACCAACACTAACACCAACACTACCACCAACACTACCACCAACACTACCACCAACACCACCAACACCACCACCAACACCACTACCAACACTACCACCACCAACACCACCACCAACACCACCACCACCAACACCACCACCAACACCACCACCAAGACCACCACCAACACCACCACCAACACTACCACCAACACTACCACCAACACTACCAACACCACCACCAACACTACCACGACCAACACTCCAACCAACACCACCACCACCAACACCACCACCAACACCACCACCAACACCATCAACACCACCACCAACACCGTCAACACCACCACCAACACCACCAACACTACCACCACTACTACCACCAACACCACCACCACCATCACTACCACCAACACTACCACCAACACTACCAACACCACCACCAACACTACCACGACCAACACTCCAACCAACACCACCACCACCAACACCACCACCAACACCACTACCACCAACACTACCACGACTACTACCACCACTACTACGACCAACACTACCACCATCACCACCAACACCAATACCACCAACACCACCACCACCACCAACACTACCACCAACACTACCAACACCACCACCAACACTACCACGACCAACACTCCAACCAACACCACCACCACCAACACCACCACCAACACCACCACCAACACCATCAACACCAACACCACCAACACTACCACCACTACTACCACCAACACCACCACCACCACCATCACTACCACCAACACTACCACCAACACTACCACCACCAACACTACCACCAACACCACCACCAATACCACCATCAACACTACCACCAATACCACCACCATCACTACCACCAACACCACCACCAACACTACCACCAACACCACCACCAAAACCACCAACACCACCACCAACACCACCAACACCACCACCAACACCACCAACACCACCACCAACACCACCACCAACACTACCACCAACACTACCACCAACACCACCACCATCACGACCACCAATATTACCAACACCACCACCAACACTACCACCACCAACACTACCACCACCAACACCAACACCACCAACACCACCACCACCAACACTACCACCACTACTACCACCAACACTACCACCAACACCACCAACACCACCACCATCACGACCACCAACACCACCACCAACACTACCACCAACACCACCACCAACACCACCACCAACACCACCAACACCACCACCACCAACACCACCACCAACACTACCACCAACACCACCACCAACACCACCACCACCAACACCACCACCAACACCACCACCAACACTACCACCAACACTACCACCAACACCACCAAGACCACCACCAACACTACCACCAACACTACCATCAACACTACCACCAACACCACCAACACCACCAACACCACCACCAACACTACCACCAACACTACCACCAACACCACCAACACCACCAACACCACCACCAACACCATCAACACCACCACCAACACCACCAACACTACCACCACTACTACCACCAACACCACCACCAACACCACCACCATCACTACCACCAACACCACCACCAACACTACCACCAACACCACCACCAAAACCACCAACACCACCACCAACACCACCAACACCACCACTAACACCACCAACACCACCACCAACACCACCACCAACACTACCACCAACACCACCACCATCACGACCACCAATATTACCAACACCACCACCAACACTACCACCACCAACACCACCACCAACACCACCAACACCACCACCAACACTACCACCACTACTACCACCAACACTACCACCAACACCACCACCATCACGACCACCAACACCACCACCAACACTATCACCAACACCACCACCAACACCACCACCAACACCACCACCACCACCAACACCACCACCACCAACACCACCACCAACACTACCACCAACACCACCACCAACACCACCAACACCACCACCAACACCACCAACACCACCACCAACACCACCACCAACACTACCACCAACACTACCACCAAGACTACCACCACCACTACCACCAACACCACCAACACCACCACCACCACCAACACTACCACCACCAACACCAACACCACCACCAACACCACCACCACCAACACCACCACCAACACTACCACCAACACCACCAACACCACCACCAACACTACCACCAACCCTACCAACAACACCACCAACACCACCACCAACACTACCACCAACACCACCAACACCACCACCAACACCACCAACACTACCACCAGCACTACCACAAACACTACCACCACCAACACCACCACCAACACTACCACCAACACTACCACCAACACTACCACCAACACCACCAACACCACCACCAACACCACCAACACCACCACCAACACTACCACCAACACCACCACCACCAACACCACCACCACCAACACCACCACCAACATTACCACCAACACCACCACCAACACCACCACCAACACCACCACCAACACTACCAACACTACCACCACCAACACTACCACCAACACCACCACCAACACCACCACCAACACTACCACCAACACCACCACCAACACCACCACCACCAAGACCACCACCACCAACACCACCACCACCAACACTACCACCACCAACACTACCACCAACACTACCACCAACACCACCAACACCACCACCAACACCACCACCAACACCACCACCAACACTACCACCACCAACACCAACACCACCAACACCACCACCAACACCACCACCAACACTACCACCAACACCACCACCAACACCACCACCACCACCAACACTACCACCAACCCCACCACCAACACCACCAACACCACCACCAACACTACCACCAACACTACCACCAACACCACCACCAACACTACCACCACCAACACTACCACCACTACTAGCACCAACACCACCACCACCAACACCACCACCAACACTACCAACACCACCACCAACACCACCAACACCAACACCACCACTAACACCACCACCACTAACAACACCACCACCAACACTACCACCAACACCACCACCAACACTACCACCAACACTACCACCAACACTACCACCAACACCACCAACACTACCACCAACACCACCACCAACACTACCACCAACACCACCACCAACACCACCACCACCAACACTACCACCAACACTACCACCAACACCACCACCAACACCACCACCAACACCACCAACACCAACACCACCACTAACACCACCACCAACACCACCACCAACACCACCACCACCACCAACACCACCAACACCACCAACACCACCACCACCAACACCACCACCAACACTACCACCAATACCACCAACACCAACACCACCACCAACACCACCACCACCAACACCACCACCAACACTACCACCACCACCACCAACACCACCACCAACACGACCACCAACACCACCACTAACACTACCACCAACACTACCACCAACACCACCACCAACACCACCACCACCAACACTACCACCAACACCACCACCAACACCACCACCAACACCACCAACACCACCAACACCACCACCACCAACACCACCACCAACACTACCACAAACACCACCAACACCAACACCACCACCAACACTACCACCACCAACACTAGCACCAACACTACCACCAACACTACCACCAACACCACCACCAACACCACCACCAACACCACCACCAACACCACCACCAACACCACCATGCCCTCTGTGTGTGTCTGAAGGTGCTGGTGGAGAAGGAGTGGATCTCGTTTGGACACAAGTTCTCTCACAGGTACCCTAGCAACTGGGTGTGTGTGTACGTGTGTGTGTACACGTGTGTGTACACGTATGTGTGTACGTGTGTGTGTGTGTGTGTACACGTGTGTGTGTGTGTACACGTGTGTGTGTACACGTGTGTGTGTACACGTGTGTGTGTACACGTATGTGTGTTCACGTGTGTGTGTGTGTGTGTACGTATGTGTGTACGTGTGTGTGTATGTGTGTGTGTGTGTACGTGTGTGTGTAAGTGTGTGTGTGTACGTGTGTGTGTGTAAGTGTGTGTGTGTGTGTACCTGTGTGCGTACCTGTGTGTGTACCTGTGTGTACCTACCTCCTCGCGGTGCCGGACGGGCAACTCTGTCGTGGACAGCGCTGTGGGGGGAGATCCAATTTTGATTGGCTCCTCCCCTCATGGCATATGTGTCCACCACAGGGGCTAAACGGGGGCTCTGGACGGGTGCGAGGGGCTGGTAACCCCTCCACCTTCAATTAATTACCACGAAACTACGAATGAAATATGTAACAACTAAGCTTGTGCCGGAGGCCCCGGGGGGCCAGGCGTCTATGACGTCTCCTGGCCAAACCCCAATTGGCGGAGCCAGGAGATTGAATACCTACCCTCGGGGCTACTCCAGAAACAACGAAAAGCCACTACGGTTGGCCACGTGGAATGTTCGAACGCTCACTGCAGAGGAGAGGCTGCCACTCCTCTGTCGGGAGCTGGACCGGTACCGCCTGGATCTATGCGGCATTCAGGAGGTCCGGTGGACCGGCTCTGGCTCCTGCCACCATGAGGGGTGGACAGTCCTCTACTCGGGGCAGCAGACTGCCAAACAACAGGGTGTGGGTCTTCTTTTGAACAAAAGAATGAAGGGGGCGTGGGAGCGTGGCGGTGAGGTGTGGGAAGCTGTAAGCCCCAGGCTACTTTGGGCTCGCCTTCCCATCAACCGGAGGCGAGGAATGGTGGTCGTGGTTACTTATGCCCCCACCGAAGATGAACATCCGTGGAGGGATGCAGGCAAAGCCGATGAGTCAGATGCCTTCTATGACCTCCTGTCACAGGTGCTGGCTAAAGTGGCCCCTCGGGATAGAGTCATCATGTTGGGTGACTTCAATGCCCGAGTTGGTCATGATACTGGCACCTGGTCTGGAGTGATTGGAGGGCATGGGCCAGATCAGCTCAATAACAACGGTAGGAGGCTGCTAGATTTTTGTGCAGCCCATGGGCTTGTAATTACCAACACGCTGTTCCGGCATCGGCGCATCCACACAACATCATGGATGCATGCCGGGTCCAAGCAAGAACATCTGCTGGACTACATAGTGACGGACCAGCGAATGCGAGCCCATGTCCTTGACACCAGGACCTACCGTGGAGCTGATCTGCCCTCTGACCATCGACTAGTCATCTGTAAGATGCGCCTGCCATTCTTCCACTCCGGTGGTGGGTGTACACCCAGGACCCCATTCCAACCTAAAGTGGCCTGGTCTCAGTTATCTGATGAAAGTTGCAAGCGAGAATTTCATCATCGCTTGCGGCTGGGATTGGCATCGTCCCCGACTCCTCCTGATGTCGAGGGTAAATGGGCGAGGTTTAGGACTGTGACTCATGCAGCTGCAATGGCTGCTTTGGGTACGCGGTCCAGACCTCCCCAGACACCCTGGATGACAGAGGAGTTTGTTCACGATGGTTGAGAAAAAGCGACAGGCCCACTGTCATCGGCTACAGAATCCCACGTCAGAGAATGAGGAGGCTTACCGCAGCCTTCGCTCGGAGGTTCGGAGAGCCGTGAGGCGCTGCAAGGATGGGTGGTGGTCGCGGGTTGCTGAGGAGATGGAGTCTGCCTCAGTGACCCGTGATCACAAATCTCTATTTAACTCCATCAAAAAAGTAACCTGCAGCGCCACACCTATTACCATCATTAGGGGAAAAAACGGTGATCCAATTTCTGACCCCCAGGAACAGGTTCGCAGATTTGCTGAGCATTTCTGTGAGGTCCTGGGGGAGGGAAAATCCCTCAGCCAGGAAAACATCGCGGCACAAAGTGAGGATGACCCTGCTGAGGCTGCGGTGCCTCAAATATTGGATGAAGTCACCCCCTGTGAGTGGCTGGCTGAGGTGCCATCTGCTGAGGAAGTATTGAAGGCGATCCGGAGTCTGAGACCAGGAAAGGCAGCGGGCAGAGATGATCTCCCAAGCGAAATGCTGAGGGAGGGTGGCGTTTGTGCACAGACTGCCCTATATGACATCATAACAACAGTCTGGACCACTGGACGGGTTCCGCAGGATTGGAAGGATGCCCTGGTGGTCCCCCTTTTTAAGAAGGGGGACCGCACAGACTGTAACAACTACAGGGGCATCTCACTCCTCAGTGTGCCGGGAAAGGTCCTGGCAAGGATTATTCAGCATCGCCTTGCCAGGCACGCTGAGGAGAGGCTTGCGGAGCCCCAATGCGGTTTCAGGAAAGGGCGGTCCTGCACAGATGCCATATTTTCTGTCCGTCTGCTACAGCAGAGGTGTAGGGAATTCCAACAAGACCTACATCTCTGCTTTATTGACCTGGTCAAGGCCTATGATACCATCAGTAGGCCTGGGCTCTGGGTCGTTCTTCGTGCTTTTGGAGTACCTGACCCTCTGCTCACGATCATTAAGGACCTTCATGATGGTGAGCGGGCCCGGGTAAAACTACGTGGCCGGGAGTCAGAGCCATTCCCTGTACACCTTGGGGTGCGACAGGGATGTCCTTTGGCTCCCACATTATTTAACATCTATTTTGACCACGTAGTTCGTGAAGCCTTCAATAGCTGTACCGGGGGAATCTCCATATGGTACAGATATAATGGGAGGCTAATCGATGCCCGGGTGCGGTCAAGGGATGGCTCCCTATTGCTCAACCACGTTATGTATGCTGATGACTTGGTAATAGCTGCTCAGTCAGAGGAGGAGTTGGAGACGCTGCTGCTGAGACTGGAGCATGCCACTAAGAGGTGGGGCCTTACCATCAGCCCCACCAAAACTAAGCACCTGCCTGGGTATTTTGTACCATCGGACACTCCACCACCACAACTCCCAATCGGTGATGGGGCAGTTGTGGAGAGAGTGGAGAGTTTCCCATACCTGGGCAGTGTGCTTATGACTGGCTCCAGTTTAACAGCAGAGGTCTCACTCCGAATCAGTCGAGCGGCAATATCTTTTCATCGGTTGCGTAACGCTGTGTGGAAGCTACCTGGTCTGTCGCTCCGCACTAAGCTTCAGGTCTTCTCGGCCACGGTCATTCCCTCCCTTCTCTATGCTTGCGAAAACGTGGACCCCCCGAATGGAACATCTTCGCCGGTTAGAAACATTTAGGCTGGCCTGCCTACGATCCATCCTGGGTTTAACCAGACTGGATTGTGTGAGGAGCTCACAAATCCTTGAAAGATCTGGGCAGGGTCCCATCGGTGAGCTCCTCCGGCAGGCAAGGCTGCGATGGCTGGGTCATGTAGCCCGCATGCCCGGCCACCGCATGCCGAAACAGCTTTTGTTTGGCCGGATTGAGGGGGCTAAGCGGGCGCGGCACGGGCTAGAGAAGAGATGGAGTGATGTGGTACAGGAGGACGTGGAGCTGAGTGGACTTGCCGATGACTGGTACCAGCGGTGTCAAGATCGGCCTCTGTGGAGGAGGCTCGTGAAGGATGCTACTGGGCAGTTGGAGGCAGTCGCCCTCCAACAACAACGGAGGGCGGAGGAGCGACGCTCACAACAGCGAGCGGAGCGCCGGGTGGCTAAAGCACAGCAGGTTGGCACAGTAGGGGGCACAGGTGGTGCATCAGCCAGTCATCTCAGTCAGTCGACCCGTGGCACCTGGGTCTGCCCCGTGACCTCCTGCCAGCGGGCGTTCGACACTTCACGTGGCCTCAGGGTGCACATAGCCTGGCACAAGCGTCGTGGTGACGTCACCGCCACTTAGTGGCGAATGGCGGTTGTTGTTGTTGTTGTGTATGTGTATGTGTGTGTACGTGTGTGTGTGTGTACCTGTGTGTGTGTGTACCTGTGTACGTGTGTGTGTGTACGTGTGTGTGTGTGTACGTGTGTATCTGTATATGTGTGTGTTTGTGTACGTGTGTGTGTGTACCTGTGTGTGTACGTGTGTGTGTGTATATGTGTGTGTGTGTACGTGTGTTTGTGTGTACCTGTACGTGTGTGTACCTGTACGTGTGTGTGTGTACATGTGTGTGTATGTGTGTATATGTATAAATGTGTACGTGTGTAAGTGTGTGTGTGTACGTGTGTGTACATGTGTGTGTGTATGTATGTGTACGTGTGTGTTTGTACGTGTGTATGTGTGTGTATATGTATATGTGTGTACGTGTGTGTATATGTGTGTGTACGTGTGTATGTGTGTGTGTGTATATGTGTATGTATATGTGTGTGTATGTGTATGTGTGTGTACCTGTGTGTGTGTACGTGTGTGTGTGTGTACGTGTGTGTACGTGTGTGTGTGTGTACGTGTGTACGTGTGTGTGTGTGCGTTGTGTGTGTGTACGTGTATGTGTGTGTATGTGTAGTGGTTAGCGCTACGCTGCGCTACAAACCTGGCTACGACCCGAGTTTGATTCCCGCTCACGGCCAACGCCACCGCCAGTGACGATTCTCTGAACCGGTCCTGGGCCTCCCCTAGGTCGACTCAGCCTCAAATGAGTTACCTGGTGGTGGTGGTGCAGTGAACATCTCCACAGGGGGAGAGACAAAGGCGGCCGGGCGTGGTGGTGGATCCGGCCACACCACCACCCACCTCTGTGTGTGTAGCCACAGTGCCGGTAGCCTTCATAGGTAGTGCTGCTTCTACTCGCTAACAGCACTTGCCCCTACAGCCTGTTACAGGCTACCTGGGGGAGCTTTGTCTTTGGTGTTTGATGGTAGTGATGATGGTGGTGGGGGTGATGGTGATGATGGTGGTGGGGGTGATGATGATGATGATGATTGTGGTGGTGGTGATGGTGGTGGTGATGGTGGTGGTGATGGTGGTGGTGGGGGTGATGGTGGTGGTGGGGGTGATGATGGTGGTGGTGGTGGTGATGATGATGATGATGGGGTGAATGGTAGTGGTGGTGGTGATGGTGGTGGTGGTGGTGATGGTGATGGGGGTGGTGAAAGTGGGGGTGGTGAAGGTGATGGTGGTGATGATGGTAGTGTTGATGATGATGATGATGGTAGTGATGGTGATGATGATGATGGTGGTGATGATGATGGTGGTGATGATGATGGTGGTGATGATGATGGGGTGAATGGTAGTGGTGGTGGTGGTGGTGATGGTGATGGGGGTGGTGAAGGTGGTGATGGTGATGGGGGTGGGGGTGGTGAAGGTGGGGGTGGTGAAGGTGATGGTGGTGATGGTGATGGGGGTGATGGTGATGGGGGTGAGGGTGGTGAAGGTGATGGTGGTGATGATGGTGGTGTTGGTGATGATGATGATGATGTTGGTGATGATGATGTTGGTGATGATGATGATGTTGGTGATGATGATGTTGGTGATGATGATGATGATGATGTTGATGACGATGACGACGACGGTGTTGATGATGATGGTGGTGGTGTTGGTGATGATGTTGGTGTTGGTGTTGATGATGATGATGGTGATGTTGGTGTTGGTGACGATGACGACGGTGAAGTTTGACCTCTCTCCCTCCAGGTGCGCTCACCTGGAGGGCGAGGGCAAGGAGGCTCTGGGGGAGCTTTGTCTTTGGTGTTTGATGGTGGTGATGATAGTGATGGTGGTGTTGGTGATGATGGTGGTGGTGGTGGTGTTGGTAATGATGATGGTGACGACGACGGTGTTGATGATGATGATGGTGGTGATGGTGATGGTGGTGATGATGATGATGGTGTTGGTGATGATGATGATGGTGTTGGTGGTGATGATGATGATGGTAGTGTTGATGATGATTATGGTGTTGATGATGATGATGGTGATGATGATGGTGTTGGTGGTGATGATGATGGTGTTGGTGATGATGATGATGATGGTGGTGTTGGTGTTGGTGATGATGATGGTGGTGTTGGTGATGATGGTGGTGGTGGTGGTGTTGGTAATGATGATGGTGACGACGACGGTGTTGATGATGATGTTGGTGATGATGATGATGGTGATGGTGGTGGTGGTGGTGTTGGTGATGATGACGACGGTGAAGTTTGACGTGTCTCCCTCCAGGTGCGCTCACCTGGAGGGCGAGGGCAAGGAGGCCTCGCCGGTGTTCGTCCAGTTCCTGGAGTGCGTCTGGCAGCTGGGTGAGCAGTTTCCCCGTGCCCTGGAGTTCTCCGAGAGGCTGCTGCTGCAAGTCCACGACCACGTCCACTCGTGCCAGTTCGGCAATTTCCTCGGCAACTGCCAGAGGGAGCGGCGGCAACTTCGGTGAGCGGCGACGGCGGTGGCGCAACAACAACAACAACAGCCGCAACCACAGCGACCACAACCACAACCAAAACTGCCACCACAACCACCACCACAACAACCACCACAACCACCATAACCGCAACCACAACCACCATAACCACCACCACAACCACCACAACCACCACAACCACCACCACAACCACCACCACAACCACCACCACAACCACCACCACCACAACTGCCACCACAACCACCACCACAACCACCACAACCACCATAACCGCAACCACAACCACCACAACCACCATAACCGCAACCACAACCACCACAACCACCATAACCACCACCACAACCACCACAACCACCACAACTACCACCACAACTACCACCACCACAACCGCCACCACAACCACCACAACCACCACCACAACCAGTGACAGTGCAGCCACCACCACAACCACCACCACAACCACCACCACAACCACCACCAGTGACATTGCAGCCACCACCACCACAACCACCACCAGTAAAACAGTGATACTCCAGCCACCACCACCACCGCAACCACTACAACAACCACCACAACCACCACCACAACCACCACCACAACCACCATCACAACCAACACAACCACCATCACAACCACCACAACCAGGGGTTGAACCCACGACCTCCTGCGTACCAGGCGAGGTAGTCAACATCTCTCAGTGTCTGGGATTGAACCCACGACCTCCTGCGTACCAGGCGAGGTAGTCAACATCTCTCAGTGTCTGGGATTGAACCCACGACCTCCTGCGTACCAGGCGAGGTAGTCAACATCTCTCAGTGTCTGGGATTGAACCCACGACCTCCTGCGGTCCAGGCGAGGTCGTCAACATCTCTCAGTGTCTGGGATTGAACCCAAAACCTCCTGTAGATCAGGCGAGGTAGTCAACATCTCTCAGTGTCTGGGATTGAACCCACGACCTCCTGCGTACCAGGCGAGGTAGTCAACATCTCTCAGTGTCTGGGATTTAACCCAAAACCTCCTGTAGATCAGGCGAGGTAGTCAACATCTCTCAGTGTCTGGGATTGAACCCACGACCTCCTGTGTACCAGGCGAGGTAGTCAACATCTCGCCACCGCCATTTTCCCCGAACTAGCACTTGCCCCGGCGGCATTCGAAGGCTACGGCGCCTTCATCTTTGCCTTTATGATCCCCGCAGCATTGAGGAGCGCACCCATTCGCTGTGGGCTCACCTGTGGGAACAACGAGCTACATTCACAAACCCCCTCTACCGCCCGGAGGACTCTCACCACTCACTCACCGCCTTGTGGCCTGATACCTCACCCTGCCTCTTCAAGTGAGACTCACCACCACTCACTCACTCACTGTCTCACTCACTCAATCACTCACTCACTCAATCACTCACTCAATCACCCACTCACCCACCCACTCACTCACCACCCACTCACTCACTACCCCGCTCGCTCACCCACTCACCCACTCACTCACTCACCCACTGTCTCACTCACTGACCACTCACTCACCGCTTTGTGGCCTGACACCTCACCCTGCCTGTTCAAGTGAGACTCACCACCAATCACTCACTCACCCACTGTCTCACTCACTCACTCACTACCCCGCTCATTCACTCACTCACTCGCTCACTCACTCACTCAATCACTCACTCACACACTCACCCACTCACTCAATCACTCAATCACCCACTCAATCACTCACTCACCCACTCACTCAATAACTCACTCACTCACCACTCACTCGCTCACTCACACACTCACCACTCGCTCGCTCACTCAATCACTCACTCGGTCACCACCCACTCACTCACTCACCACTCGCTCACTCACCACCCACTCACGCACCCATTCGCTGTGGGCTCACCTGTGGGAACAACGAGCTACATTCACAAACCCCCTCTACCGCCCGGAGGACTCTCACCACTCACTCACCGCCTTGTGGCCTGATACCTCACCCTGCCTCTTCAAGTGAGACTCACCACCACTCACTCACTCACTCACTGTCTCACTCACTACCCCGCTCACTCACTCAATCACTCACTCAATCACTCACTCACTCACGCACTGTCTCACTCACTCACTCACTGTCTCACTCACTCACTCAGTCACTCACTCACTCACTTAATCACTCACTCACTCACCCACTCACTCAATCACTCACTCACCACTCGCTCGCTCACTCGCTCACTCACTCACCACTCGCTCACTCACTCGCTCACTCACTCAATCACTCACTCACCCACTGTCTCACTCACTCAATCACCCACCCACTCACTCACCGCCCACTCACTCACTCACTACCCCGCTCGCTCACTCACTCACTACCCCGCTCACTCACTCGCTCACTCACTCACCACTCACTCACCACCCACTCACTCACCACTCGCTCACTCACCACCCACTCACGCACCCATTCGCTGTGGGCTCACCTGTGGGAACAACGAGCTACATTCACAAACCCCCTCTACCGCCCGGAGGACTCTCACCACTCACTCACCGCCTTGTGGCCTGACACCTCACCCTGCCTGTTCAAGTGAGACTCACCACCACTCACTCACTCACCCACTGTCTCACTCACTACCCCGCTCACTCACCCACTCACCCACTCAATCACCCACTCACCCACTCACTCACCCACTCACTCAATCACTCACTCAATCATCCACTCAATCACTCACTCACCCACTCACCCACTGTCTCACTCACTCAATCACCCACCCACTCACTCACTCACTCACCCACTGTCTCACTCACTCACTCGCTCACTCACTCGCTCACTACCTAGCTCAATCACTCACTCACTCACTCACCACTCACTCACTCACTCACCACTCGCTCACTCACTCGCTCACTCACCACCCACTCACGCACCCATTCGCTGTGGCCTCACCTGTGGGAACAACGAGCTACATTCACAAACCCCCTCTACCGCCCAGAGGACACTCACCACTCACTCACCGCCTTGTGGCCTGACACCTCACCCTGCCTGTTCAAGTGAGACTCACCACCACTCACCACTCACTCACTCACTCGCTCGCTCACCCACTGTCTCACTCACTCACTCACTCGCTCACTCACTCACTCACCCACTGTCTCACTCACTCACTCAATCACTCGCTCACTCACTCGCTCACTCACTCACCCACTGTCTCACTCACTCACTCACCCACTGTCTCACTCACTCGCTCACTACCCCGCTCACTCACTCACCCACTGTCTCACTCACTCACCACTCACTCACTCACTACCCCGCTCACTCACTCACTCAATCGCTCACTACCCAGCTCACTCACTCGCTCACTCACTCGCTCACTCACCACTCACTCGCTCACTCACTCAATCACTCGCTCACTCGCTCACTACCCCGCACGCTCACTCGCTCACCCACTCACTCACCCACTGTCTCACTCACTCACCCACCCACTCACTCACCCACCCACTGTCTCACTCACTCGCCACTCACTCACCGACTTGTGGCCTGACACCTCACCCTGCCTGTTCAAGTGAGACTCACCACCAATCACCACTCACTCGCTCACTCAATCACTCACTCACCACTCACTCACCC